CTCTCTCTCTCTCTCTCTCTCTCTCTCTCTCTCTCTCTCTCTCTCTCTCTCTCTCTCTCTCTCTCTCTCTCTCTCTCTCTCTCTCTTTCTCTTGTAGCTTCATCGCAGAGAGAACCACGACTATTGTTCCCCTCTCTCAATCTTATCTCCATCCACGCTCCCAATGCTACGCTGCGATGGTGGCCATTTATCTAAAACTACCCTCACCTTCTCTCTCTAGAGGTCACTCCCAACTACCACTGTAGCGCCATTCAGAATGATGAACACAATTAAAGAAGGTAAGTGCCACTCCCCTCCCCCTTGTCATGCGGATGTCCTAAGGCTCGGTGCAACTCCAAAAATGAGCTCTTGGAGTCTCACGTGCCCTCATAGATGCAGAACCGGCCAGAGCATCAACGAGTGCAGAGCATCAATCCCAAGCTCTCGTGGATGGCTGCATGCTCAAGCGCCATAGCCAGGAAGGTCATCATCCTCCATAGCCAGGAGCTTCACTCAGATCCTCCTCAGGCGTCCACTTCCCATGGCCAGCACCTCTGCTTTCCAGCTCCACCGGGGCAACACGACATCATGACGTCAACACGTATAACCCACCCTCAGGGTCTTCCTACTTGACCAACGACCTGCCTATAGCTTATATTAAATTAACTGGTCCCTCTTACTTTTATCCCGTGCTAAACCAGGTCTCCAACCCCCCTTGTTAACCAGTCCCTCACACTTTTATCCAGCGCTAAACCAGGTACCTACCTATCCTTGTTAACCGGTCCCTCCAACTTTTATCCAACGCTAAACCAGGTCTCCAACCCCCCTTGTTAACCAGTCCTTTCTACTTCTATCCAGCGCCAAACCAACTGCCCTTGTGAACCAGTCCCTCCAAACTTTATCCAGCGCCAAACCAGGCAGCTACCCTGGTTACCCGGGCCCTCCTTTGTTTATCCGGCGCTAGACCAGGTAACTGGCCTTGTTAACCGGTCGCTCCAACCTGGACCTTTTTTTATCCAGCAATAAAGCAGGAGCTACGCTTCTTAACCGGTCCCTCCTAATTTTATCCAGTGCTACGGTCCCTCCTAACTTTAACCTTCGCTAAACCATGTAGGAGGGACCGGTTAACCGCTCCCTACATGGTCAAAGTAGGTGCTACCCGGTTAACCGGTTCCTCCTACTTTTATCCAGTGCTACGGTCCCTCCTCCTATCCAGTGGTACGGTCCCTCCTAACTTTAACCCTTGGTTAACGGGCCGCTTCCTACATTTGTTCAGCACTGAACCAGAAACCAGGCAGGTGCCACCCTGCCTCAGGGATGCTGCTACAATTCCGCGGGAAAACAGTGACAGCCAGTTTAGTCTCTGCCAAGTCCACGTGGACCCGAATGTGTCCTATCTCCTTGACCAGATACGCCTGGTATCCCAGAACCAGAAGTCAAACCTGAGCTGGCCGGTTCAGACCTGCACCGGACTTGCTGGGAAATGCCTGTTAGGCCCGGTTGGGGTCGCGGGATTTGAACATGCGACCTGCCCAATTATTTGCTGTATTTCAAGTTTCTGTTCGTTTTTTGTGTCCACGATTTCAACCTAGAACCAAATAAAGTAAGCAGGGTCGTTTTTATTTTTCTTTACTGTTCTGAAGCTGGTGAGTTTTGAACCCGGGACCTGCGTGTACAGTCTCCGTTTGCCTACCATAGTGGTTCCGGATCTTTTTT